AAGATAAGTACAGACGTCTCCGTACCGATCCGCAAGACTCTACTAAACTTGCTCATGACTCGTGAGACCTATGTAACCTAGGCTCTGATACCAACTTGTCATGAACCAAAACTCTAACCTGTCGTGATGGGGCCTATCGTGGTACTAGGCAAGCTGACACCTTTCAAAACACTTCGATATTTCATTAAAAGATAAGTCAAAGCTTTTCATAACAGAAATTTCATAAAAGAGTTAAACTCAAAATAAAAGTACGAAAAAATAGCCCGACATCGGGATGCCACTAAGTTATGAGCATCTACAACTAGTCTAGAATCAGAGTTTACAATAGTCCGTCAAATGCCAAAAACAGAAAGAAAGATAATAGTGGAAGGAGATACAAGGGTTGCGGACGCCAGCAACTACCTCATAGATCTCCGATAGTCAACTGCGTATGAACTCAATGAGCTCCGCGACCGGTCTCACCTGAATCTGCACACAAGGTGTAGGGAGTAACGTGAGTACTTTCAACTCAGTAAGTAACAGAAATAAATAGGGAACTAAGAAGTAGTGACGTGCTATGCGAATACAGTTTATTTCAATAATTTTCAAATAAAGAACAATCACGCTTTCAAATTTAGTAGTTTAAGTCAAATAGGTTTGTGCTCAAGTAAACCACATATGAAGTCTTCCATAAATTTTCACAACAAGGACAGATAACAACTAAGTGCAACCAAATAATTGAAGGAAAGTATAGCCTCTTAAGACAATAGTCAATCAGCTCAATAACTCGGCTCTCAACCCTCAGTACTCACACTCAATAGATACCTACGCTCACTAGGGATGTGCAGACTCCGAAGGGGCTCCTTCAGCCCAAACGCTATATCGATGAGGCGTGCAACCTGGTCCAATATATATATAGCCATAATGCTCGTTGCGGCGCCCAACCCGATCCAATATAGATAATTATCCTGAAGGCTCGTTGTGGCGTGCAACCCGATCCATATATACATATAGCTCACAACTCGACACTCAGGCCCTATTTTAGTAACCAACCTGTCTAGTCCCTCGGGCTCTCAGAAAACATATAATTCATCCCCAAACAGATATAATAACATGTATCAATAATTAATAAGAGGGGACGGAGGTATGATACATAATTAGTATCATGACTGAGAACAAAACAACAAATAGCAGTTAATTCAACAATTACATGACCTCATAGTCTCAACAATGATATCATAAGTCCTAAACATGATTTCTAATATAAGTGTAGTCGATTTCCATAAAAACAGAGGGAACACGTAGTAAACAATAAGTTATTCGATTCCACAGTCTCACGGGACGGACCAAGTCACAATACCTTTAGTGCACGCCCACACGTCTATCACCTAGCATGTGCATCAACTCCAAAATAGTCACACGACACATGATCCGGGGTTTCATACCCTCAGAACAAAATTTATAATTGTTACTTACCTCAATCCAATCAAAATCCTACTCCGCAATACCCCTGCCTCTCAAATCAGCCTCCAAACGTCCCGAATCTAGCCACAAGCAATACATTACGATCAATATAGGCTAAAGGAATCAATTCCACACAAAAAATGACAAATTATAACCAAAATTCGAAATCGACTCAAACTCGGCCCCCGAGCCCACGTCTCGAAATTCGACAAAAGTCACAAAACCCAAAAGCCCATTCACTCACGAGTCTAGCCATACCAAATTTACTCAAATTCGATAACAAAATATCATTCAAAACCTCAAAATTTTATCTCAAGAACACTTTCTCTTTTTCCTCAACTTTCCACCCCAAATCACAAATTAAATGGTAGAATTAAAGACAATCATGGGATTTAGCCAAAAACAAGTAAGAATCAAATACCCCAAACAACACCACCAAAATCCCTTCAAGAATTGCCCAAATCCGTGGTCTCTAGCTCAAAATATGAAAAATGGGTTCAAACCCTCGATTTTGAAATTTAACACTTCTTCCCAGATTTTCCTTCATCGCAATCACAGAAATAGCCTCGCGATCGCGAAGTACAAACAGGCTGCCCCACATTTTTACTCTATGCGAAGGCTGAACTCTCCATGCTTTGCGAATTACTGCCCCTCAAATCTACACGATCGCGTAGATCAATTACCTCAGCTCCTCTTCAACTCGATTATTTCGACGCGAATGTGGCATTGACCACCTGTTCGCGAAGCACATCTTCATACATACGCGATCGCGTCCCTAACTTTGCGATCACATAGAACAAACTCACCTCTGCCCCAAATAAGCTTACGTGATTGCAGATGTACTCATGCGATCGCTTATAAGGAAACCAGAAGAAAAATACCAGCAGCTATCAATCACTTTCCAAAAGCCAAAATGATCCGTTAACCACCCGAAACTCACTCGAGGCCCTTAGGACCTTAACCAAACATACCAAAAAGTCCTAAAACATCATAAGAACTTACTTGAATCTTTAAATCACCTCAAACAACGTCAAAACCATGAATTGCACCCAAATTCAAGTCGAATGAACTTTGAAATTCTCAAATCGTACAATCGACGCCGAAACTTATCAAATCACATCCGATTGACCTTAACACACAAGTCATAAATGACACCACGGACCTAGTCCAACTTCCAAAATTCAATTCCAACCCTAACATAAAATTTTCCACTACCGGCCAAAATTGCCAAAATTCCAACTTTGGCCAACTCAAGCCTAATTCTACTACACACCTCCAAATCACATTCCGGACGCGCTCCTAAGTCCAAAATCACCTAACGGAGCTAACAGAACCATTAAAATTCAAATCCGAGGTCGTTTACACATAAGTCAATATCCAGTTAACTTTTCCAACTTAAGCTTTCAAATAAGAGACTAAGTATCTCAATCCACTTCAAAACCACTCTGGACCCAAACCAGCTAACTCGGTAAGTCATAACAAAGTTGTATAATACAAAAGAAGCAGGAATTGGGGGAACAGAGCTATAACTCTCGAAACGACCGGTCGGGTCGTTACAAATCGCAATGGGATTTTGCGATTCTAAGAGATCACAGTACAATCTTTCTTAAGAATATCATATGGATTTTTCCCTACTTCAATCCGTCGTTATGTGATTTGTCTCAATCGACATGTGTTAGAGAGATTGTCAAGAGAATCGACTCAGGTATGTTAAGGCTAAACCCTTCCTTTATTTTGGCATGATCTCGTAAATACATGTGTTTGATAACGAGGCATAAATAGAAGTTCATACTCCCGAATTTATATACATTATCCTAGTCTCATAAGTTACAGTATTCTCCCTTATCGGGACTTTATATTCAATTGAGTATTGTCTTCTTCCAGTCAAGAGAGCAGAGGGTCTATATATATACAATATTATAGCATTTTTACCGCCATCGAGCTATAATTGGTGGGCAAGCCCCCATTGGGCAACCTCCGATCAGATGGTAAATTATATACTGAATCTACTGTGGACGAGCGCCTATGAGTGAGCCCAAAATGGCCGAGATATAGAGCCTAGTATGGCTGAGCGCATATGAGCGAGCCTACTTCGGTAGAGCAGTTATATATATCGAGCCTTATAAGGCCGGGCAACTATTTTACTTACTATATTAAGAGTGTTGAGTCAGTATCGGCAGGTAAGCATATCTTCAGATTATCTTTGACTCATAGTTACTTTCAGTTATTATATTATTAGTTCAGTTTCAGCTTTTAGTTATTTTGTTGTCTTACATACTCGGTACATTATTTCACACTGACGTCTCTTTTGCCGGGGACGCTGCATTTCATGTTTGCAAGTTCAGACAGACGGGTAGACCTCCTCAGTAGGTGTTGCCCGAATTTAGCTTGATCGGTAAGCTCGACGTCCTTCGGAGTTGCCGGGTCTAGAGTTTTATGTACATCTTGTGTATATATATGTTATGGGTAGGTTTGGGCCTGTTCCGATCACAGTACATCCATCAGTAGAGGCTTGTAGACATATCTTATCAGTTAGTGCAGTATTTTGGGCTTGTAGACCATGTATGTTTATTTTGTTGGATTGCTAGTTGTAGTAGTTATGGCGGCCTTGTCGGCCCAGCTTTATGTTGATGTTTAGTCAGCTTTTGCAATTTTTCTTGCAACGTGACCCATGGCCAAAGTATGACATTATATGTTCAGAGTCCCTTAATCGCAAGTTGGTTCGCAAGGATAGGTGAGACACCGGGTGTCGGTCTCGCCTCCCAGGTTTGGGGCGTGACAGACTTATCCCAAGGGCTCTCCTTAGGCCCTATATCACTACAAATACACCTCGTACACTAGTTCTTATGTTCATGGGATATCTTTCATATTATTAATTACACTCGCATATAAATAAATATAATTAGCACGCGGCAGACTTTTTAATGGTCTTATAACATTTCGATTTTTTTTTCTGAGGCGCTACAAGTTACTAGTTTATTTTTTGCATTTCTAACAATATATAATTTTAAATTCGTGTCTAAAGATCCAATATAGTGATATGTTCCAGAGTAAATCAGGAAGTAGGCTAAAATCTTCAAGTACCCCTGAGAACGCTACATTTATAATCTTCTTGGACCTTCGAGGATTACTATTTAGGAACCAAAACTGTGGTACCAAAAATCTTTGACAGGTTTGACTCAAGGATTCAATCATGTAATTTACTTTAAATATTTATTCGTTTTCTCATGTTTTTACATTAAATTGAATAATTTAATATTAGCAGTTAAATATTTATCGTATAACCATGATTAAGTAATATATATATATATATATATATATATATAAAGAATATTTCTTGCATTCATGATTTAGTGCAAAATACTTGGTGCAAGTAAGTGTTTACATGAGTTACCATGGTAAAAGTTCTATCAGCTAAACATGCTTGGTAGGAATTATTTTAGATTTATAAACCTTATTTTATTTTAGATTATTTTTTGCGATACTACAGGACATATAAACAGAAGACATGCCGGAAAAAAAAAATATCTGCACACATGATTGCAAAAAGGCATACTTATAATTTTACTGAACTCACAAAATATCACTAAGACAATCAGTGAATGTAACAAAACTAAATCTAGTACAAACGGGCAAACAGAAAAATAAAAATAGATCCATCACATGGTTTTATAGTAGTATAAACTCCAGTGCAATAAATGGGAAGCTCAACAATCTCCTCAACTTGTTCAACTTAAAGAAAAGTGGCCAAGACAACCGAGGATAGACCGAGAAGAAAACTGGCCAGCACGGCCGATGAGGATGAACTAGGAGGAGGAGCACCACCACCCGGAGCGGAGCTTGAACGAGGAGGATTAGCACCACCACCAGGAGTGGAGCCTGAAGATCCAGCAGCAGCTGGTGTAGGTGCACAAGCTTCCGGTTGAGTGGAAGAGGATGGTGAAGGAATGTCTGGAGTGGTCGGCTTGCTTGGGGTAGGTGGGTTGGCTCCAGGAGTACTGGTGCTAGAAACTGTAATAGCTAATTTTTGGCCATTTTGGCAATGCCTTCCAAAAGTGCAAATATAGTAGTGATCACCAGCAGAGTCAAGAGTTACATTTGCTGGTCCCGCCATTATGGGATCGCCAATGGCATTTTGGGAATTGCACTCATCAAACGAAGTTTTTTGTACTTGCAGCACGTCATGTTGGTTGGTCCCAAAATTGAAAACTGTCAATTAAAAAGAAGAAAAGTAACGTGATAAGGTACTCAATTTAGTTTAAGCTTAAAGATATCTCAAAAGAAAAATGGAATGCGAAATTAAGTGTACCTAGAGTGTCGCCAACACTGAAGGTTTTTCCAGCAGCCCAATTCGTGTAAGCTACAGCTCCATTGTTCGGTATGGTCCAACCTATGTTGTCCCCAACCACATGCACCGTTTGGGCTGTTATGTCTTGCACCAAATTTGCGACGGCTAAAGCACCAAAGACAATCACGCACAATATTTTGTCCATCTCTTTGCTTTTAGATAATTTTCTTCTTTTTGAGAGAAGATTTATTAAAAATAGATCCTATTACAATTGAGGGAGTTGATTGCTACTTTGCTAGAGGAGGATGAGATGCCTAGAACAATTTGGCTCTGTTTATATAAGGGAAAGGATTTTGAATTGGTCTAGACTCTTAACTTGCATGGTGCTAAGTCTAGAATTTCAACTATAGCAAAAGTGGTGGGAAATAAACGTAGGAATTTAATGCTGAATGGACCCAAAAGAGAAAAGTTAGAAGGCAGGCTAATTCAACTCCCAAAATAATCAAATGAAACAAGTCAATGGACAATTGACTTGTACGTCTACCCTTATGTACATGGGACTTCAATATTTTGCTATACAGTTTAATTTACGAAGTTGCATTGCAGCTAGTAGGTACGTTCCTCCGTAGTTATCTAAGAAACTATTGATTCTTCGTTGTTCAATTACCATAGACGGTCAGATGTCAAAGTAAAATACTCTACTAATTTGAGTCTGCTTTCTTCAAATTTTGAAGTCCTTTTTGGTTCAGCAAAAACTACTACTAAGTAGCTGGAAAAAATGAAATATTCGTCGTTTGTCAGAAGAGTATAATATTTCAAATCGTGACCTTTGTGGAAAGAACATAGGGAAATCTGACGTATTTAACTGTTCTATACTCCATATCTATAAAATGTACCAATACTTCCATTCTAACCAAAAAGGCCACTATATTGAGACTTACAGCAAAAGTAAGGGTTAAATTATTTAGAAACAAAGAGAGCAGTATTTTGTTTGATTATGAATACAATCAATAGTGAAATAAATATAAAATAATATATTAATGTACTAGGATTAATTAAGTCCTTCAGAACGAAGTTCACTAAATCGATTTCCTAATTAAGTATAACTTCTAGAATTGTGATCTGGACCTTCTCCTTATAGTGAGCCACTTGCTGAAATACTGGAATTATACTTCGTTAATTCTTTAGTTTAAGCATGTGTACGGGTAAAATCGGGGTAAAGTTTCCTCTGATTTTCCGGTGAGAGAGCGAAGGGGAAATACGGATCAACGTGATTATAATCGAGGCCGGAAACCCCTCATATCGAGACCCGGGAAGAATGAATGACATATTCGAGATCAGACACGGTAAGACGACGTACCCCAGACAAAGTATGGCTTCTGTACCTCGGAAGACACGGTGAACGGTTATGCATGACAGATAGTGGACCGTAATATTCGCCCTCAAGCGGATTTTACGGCGCGAATCTTCTTCGGTGTTCATTGTAGATCAATAATCACCGGGAAAATAAGATTTTTACTTTTTTTGGACTTGTACTAGTATTGAAATTCTCCTACTATATAAAAGGGAAGTTTTTCTTTAGTCTGACATATTGTAACACTCACTTCAAAGCACTAAAAGCCTACTCTTGTCTTCTAGCTATTGTTAAAAGCATTTCACACTTGTTCTTTTCTGCACGTGCAAAGTTGCACTGAGGATTCGATCGAGGTTGGGCTTTAATGTTCAATCTCATGTAACGTTCCTGCTACATTTCAGCGTTGCATATCGGCAATTTTTTCAGATATGACTGAAAAGTTTCTTGAAATATTTATGGATGATTTCACACTTTTTGGTAAGACATTTGAAGATTATCTCTATCATTTAACTTTGGTGCTTCAAAAATGTGAAGAGACAAATTTGGTTCTTAATTGGGAAAAATATCACTTCATGGTAATATAGGGAATTGTTTTAAGACATAAAATTTCTGCTAGATAGAAGTTGATAAGGCTTAAATACCCCCTCCTACCACCGTTAAAGGCATTAGAAGTTTCTTAGGGCATGCAGGTTTTTATAGAAAATATATAAAAGATTTTTCAAAAATTTCAAAACCTCTAACTAACCTACTGATGAAAGATACAGTTTAAATTTTCAGATAATTGCAGGAAAGCATTTGAGATTCTCAAGAAACAATTGACTAATGCTCCAATTGTTGTTTCTCCTGAGTGGAGCCAGCCCTTTAAAATAATGTGTGATGTAAGTGATACATAATAAGAGCGATATTATGACAAAAGAGAGACAAGATCTTCAGACCTATCTACTATGCCAGTAGAACACTTAATGAAGCTCAAAAGAATTATGCTACAACTGAGAAGGAACTACTAGCAGTAGTACTTGCCTTTGACAAATTTCGTTCCTATTTGGTAGGAATAAAGGTTACAATTTATAATGATCATGCAGCCTTAAAGCGCCTCTTAGCAAAGAAAGTGCTAGACTCAGATTGGTAAGATGGATACTCCTTTTGCAAGAATTCGATCTTAAAATAAAAGATCGAAAAGGTTCTGAGAATTAGGTAGCTGGTGATTTGTCTCGTTTGGAAAATCCTCCTACTGAGATAGAAGATATCAAAGAGGAATTTCGATGAACATATATTTTCAGTTACATCCGTTATAAATCGACCACGTTGGTTTGCTGATATTGCCAACTACTTGGCTGGAGGATGGATTCCAAAAGATTTTTCTGATGAACAAAAGAAAAAACTTGAAAAAGAAGCAAGACATTATTACTGGGAAGATCCTTACTTGTTTAAATTTTGTGCAGATGACATAATCAGGAGATGTGTACTAAAGATAGAAATAAATAACATCTTAAGTCACTGCCATGATGGGGCTGTAGGAGGATAATATGGAGGAAGAAGGGCAATAGCTAAAGTACATGAAGTTGGCTTTTTCTGGCCTACTCTATTCAAAGATGAGGAATTATGTCGCTATTTACGATAAATGCCAGAGAATCAGTAACATTTCAAAAAGGGACGAAATGCTTCTTAACTCTATTTTTATGTATGAAATCTTTGATGATTGGGGCATTGATTTTATGGGTCAATTTCCTCCTTCAAACGACTATGAATATATTTTAGTGGCTGTTGACTATATTTCAAAATAGGTAGAAGCAATTGCTACTAGAAAAAATGATGCTCATATTGTTTGTGTTTTTCTCATGAAAAATATTTTTTCTAGATTTGGAACTCCACGAGTTATAATAAGTAATCAAGGAACTCATTTTATAAATAGACAATTTTCTAGTTTGTTGTTAAAATATGGAGTAACTCATAAAATATGAACTCTATATCATGCTCAAACAAGCGGGCAAGTAGAAGTTTCCAACAGAGAATTAAAAAGAATTTTAGAAAAAACTGTTGGTTCTTCTAAAAAAGATTGGTCTTTAAAATTGGATGATGCTTTATGGACATACAAAACTGCTTATAAAACTCTCATAGACACATCTCCTTATAGACTAGTTTTTGGGAAAGCTTGTCAGTTATCTGTGGAATTAGAACATAAAATATATTGGGCTATAAAATTATTGAATCTAAACTTGCCAGATGCAGGTAAAAATCGTCTACTGCATCTTGATGAGTTGGAAGAATTCAGACTTACAACATACGAAAATGCTAAATTGTACAAGGAAAGGATAAAAACAAAAGGCATGACAAGCTCATCCGCCATAAAGATTTTAAAGTTGGAGATCAAGTTTTGTTGTACAATAGCCGATTGAGATTATTCCCAGAAAAGTTTAAGTCACACTGGACAGGATCATAAACAATAACAAAGATTACCCCATATGCTGCCATTAAAATACAACATATAAATGGGGGAAAAAACTTCAAGGTAAATAGTCACCGACTGAAGCCTTATGTCACTAGAATATTTGACAAACAGGTTTCAACAATCTTATTGCATAAAATAAAAAATTAAAATAAGTTAAGCTGACGACATTATACTTAGAACTATATCCTTAATTCTTAAATCCCTCTAAATAGTATTAGTTATATAAATATAGTAACATAANTATATATTAGTGAACTAATGATATAATATATTAGTTTATTTTATACATATATATATTTCTTATTTATAATATATGTATTAGTGTTTACTATAAATAATATTTTAAAGAAAAAAGAGAAAAACGATCATTGATTACTTTTTCGAATAGTTATGTCCTTTCTGCTTCTTCTTTTAGTTTACTTACTGAAGTTTACTAATATGATTTTTTTATAAGTTTATATGTAGATTTTGTGTAGTACATATCCTCTTAAAAAAAATAGAGAAAGGGAAGATGAGAAATTTAGACAGTAAATCTAGGAGACAAAGACACACTTTAATTGGATCCCTTCTCAAATCCTAATGCTGACTTCTCCCCAGTTATTATTTTAAAAATAAATACTTTAAGTTGTTCCCAATCTCATTAAAATACCTCTATAAATAAACCTTTCACCTTACCTCACCTCTTTCCCTTTATCTTTTTCACTATACCCTACGCCTCCCCATCCTTCTTCCATCATATAGCCACCAATATACCACCACAAGACCACAATATTTTCACTATTAATTCCAACATCCACTAAGCAAAAAAAAAAAATGACATTTGTAAAAAGATTTTTTTCAGATATGGGCTTACAAAGTGAAAATCTTGACATCAATGAGGAAATTTGTAGAGACCAAAAAGTATTTTGCAGAAGAATGTGAGATGGTCTTTGCGCCAACAAATGGGTTAGCCGTGGTGGTTGGTTTGGTTTCGGGAATATTTCGAAATGAATTTGGACACTTAGTCCCAAGGTTAGAATTCTAAGTTGGAAGAGTTCACCGGATGTTGACTCGTGTGTAAACGATTTTGGTAGAGTTTTGATGGTTCTGATAGCTCCATATGGTGATTTTGGACTTAAAAGTATGCTCGGACATGAATTTAGAGGTATGTAGGTGGTTTTGGCTGGAATTGACAAAAGTTGAAAAGTTGAAGGTTTGAAGAGTTGAGAAGTTTGATTGAAAGTTGACTTTGTTGATACCAGGCTCGAATTTTGATTTCAAAAGTTAGAATAAGTCTGTTGTGTCATTTGTGACATGTATGCAAAATTTAAGGTCAAACGGAATTGGTTTAATGGGTTTCAACATTGATTGTAGGAGTTGGAAATCCATTAGTTTCAATATGCTTGAATTGGGGTGTGATTTGTGCTTTTGATATTATTTGATTTGATTTGAGGCCTTCACTAAGTTCGTGTAATATTTTGGGATCGGTTGGTATGTTTGAATGGGGTCCCGG